TTACATGTTTTAAAAAGAATAAACGTATTTCATCTAATATGAGCCTACCTAAACCGACAACTTTTAGGTCAATTATCTCGATTCCTGTGAGAGGTATCGAACATTTATGAACTGATAAAAATTTTATCATATTGTCACCAATACTTTACTAGTAGATCATTTTTGTATATATTCCTTAAGGATCCAGATAATTGAGCTCAAAGTTGACCGTTTTGGTAGGTTTCTAAATACGGTATCTTTTTCAAAACTATTGCAAATTAATTCCAGAATGTGCAGATAAAGAAGTACATTCTCTTTTTGTAATTAGTAAAAATCAGAGACGTCCGGAACGATTTTTTTAAGAAACGGAATCCGGAATCCGGAATAAAATAATTTTCCTGAATCCGGAATAAAAAATAGCCCGGAATCTGAAATACGGAATTTTGAGGTTTCCGATGGCCAGAAAATTTCTTAAAAGCCCACATTGTTATTTTCGCATTGTTAGTCGCGGAAGTTCAAAGAAGGCAGAGAATTCTTGCAGATTAACGTATTTGCAGAAAGTCCAGAATTTAAAATTTTCTCGGAATCCGGATATCTCTGGTTAAACTGCCTTATCTTACAGTTAGTGGAAAAAAGTAGAAAATCAAATCTGTGACAACTTCAAGAAAAATTCGAACTTAAATAAAAACTTTATTTGGGTAGCAGACGGCATTTGTGTGAAATCTCTGTATAGGATTTCCGTTGGGAAGTTTCTGTGATATTTTCATTCAAAAACCCAACAATATGCTTGTGTTAATAGACTTGCTAACATTTTCGCTAAAACTGATATCGACTTCTTTAAACCGAAGGAGATTTCACGAAGTCGTCGAATTTCAGGGTACTGGCTTCCTAACGTTCAGCATCATTGGCTCTTAAAAAATCTTTTAAAATCCAACAAACCCAACTTATATTTATCAACCAACTATTCTGATATTCAACATTAACTCAAACCCATCGCATTCCAAATCTTTCTCATTTTTATTGCTTCCCATGACCAAATAAACACCACGAGTCTACTAACACTCAACCTATGATCAAAACAACCTAGACCAATATTGCACAATTCAAAATCCATTCCATGTACCTTCTACAGTATCTCACTATGATGTATTTGAATTTGAACGAGGTGTAAATGTCACAAAAAGAGTCACAAGTGCACCATTTAGCACACCATGTAGGTGAGAAAGTAAACACGTTTTGGGTGCCTTGATTTGTTGACTCTACTAAATACCAGGTGGCCTAGAAATCTTGAATGGGATGTTACAAAAGCGTTCCTCAAGATTCAAACATCCTCGATAATCCGTAGATGATGACGTGGCAAAAGCATCACGATTAATTATGGATGCACGCCATCTATCTTGTTACCATCTGCCAACATTCCGATGCGCGCGTTGCGGAGGCTTAATTATAGCCCATATACACAAGGCGGAGGGGGACAGTTTTATGTGACAAGATACTGTCGTTTTTTTTCTTTTGAAAATGGAGATTAGGCTTGAGTGGGAACAGGTGGCTTTTTAGAGAGGATTTTGTGGAAGCAGATGTTTGAAGAGAGAATGCATTGAAAGAGAAGAGTTATGAATGACAAGTAGAAGGAGGGACTTACAACCTGAATTAAAAATTATGTGTACAGCATCCGGATAATCTGGTAATTGGAGAAAATTGAGAAGAGTCATAAGGAAAAAGAGCTTTACAAAGAAAGAAAGCAGATTGAAATATACGAGCGTATGAAGAGCAAAATTCAGATGCTATTGATCGTTGCAAAAACAAAAATTTGAAGAGTTTCAAGGTTTGAAAATGGCGCATTCGAAAAATTCAGCGAAGTTCAAGATATTAAATTTAAAATACAGATTTTGGGTGTTTTTGGAATTCTGCCTTCAAAATCTTCGTTAGGCTTTATGATCTCAAACTCTGTTTGGTCAGATTCCGGACAAGACCGCTACTAAAGGCCTCCAAGCTCAAACCAAATTATGAAAAGGTTCCGACCTAGTAGAATTGCAACTTTAAACTTCCAAAATCTGACCATGGTCCGCTATACATCTGTTTTTGGGCAACTTCTGACCAGAACCTGGGAGAAGATCCTCCGAAAAGCCGAACCCCTTAACTTCTGAAAAGAAGTTACAAGCCGATAGCCGAGTATATTTCAGAGCTTCTTGATTTCAAATTCTTGAATCTAAAAAGTTTGAGACACTGGAACTTGTCAGATTTTTCGAAACTGTGGAAATTCTGATTTTTCATGTTTCGATTATTGAAAAATTAACGGTTTCTGCGTTTCAGAGAGCTAGATTTTCAGAATTCGGTATTTGCCTGCTGTCAGATTCAAAAATTTTCAGTATTGGGTTTTTCAAGATTTCAAAACTCGTCTGATCGATTGGCTTAGCGATATCCATCAATATATTGCGGAGATACTAGGAGTTTTTTTTAAAGATTTTAAGTTCCGTTTTAGTTTTCTTTTCGAATTCTTTTTTTGCTGTTGAAGATGAGATTCTGAATCCCACAACCAGAATCGACTAGATATTCCCTAGGAAAGAGCCAATCCATTTACAACATCATCTTCATCCAGAGGAACGCGTATCTCCTTCTACCAATCTTGATAATCTTTGCGCAGAAATGGCCAAGTGAGGTACTAGGTACGAGATACTAAAGAGAGTGAGTAAAAGACAGATATCATCGAACGATAAGAACTTTTTGACGATCTTGATCTGCAGACAGTGTGACATAAGAGAGTGAGAAAGATGAAGTGTGATTTTATATGGAGAAAATGTATTTGAAAAAAAAAGAATAGGAATCGATTTATATTTGGTGATAAATTTTGATGTTTTAGTTCTTATTTTGGTAGCCTTGTCAGAAGTTGTAATCTTGTGATTCTGATATTTGCGATTTTTTAAGTTCGGGTCTCTGGAAACTTCGAAAACATTTTGATAAACTCTATAATTTTGAATTGAGGAAAACTCTTATCTCAAAAATTCTCTAGAAAGAGTCCAGAGATTTTGATTATTTTAAATCCTGTAAGAAAGTAACCATTCGTTTCTGGTTTTGGAAATTTACGGACCACGAAGTCTCAAAATCCTGCGAATTCGGTGGGATCCTGAAATCCACAATTATTTTAAAGTTCGGCATCTTCTCCAAGCATGAATTCTGCAAAAATAAAATTCTAAAATTAATGCAACTTAACTTAAATTAACTCAGAACTATCCCCAAATCTACTATTTTGATGCCAATCTAGACTTTCGAAACTTCTGAAACCATTTTTTACGCTTGATTTCTCTTGGAAATATTGCAAAATTTACTGAAAACCTGATCTTGTCAATTTCCCATTTCCAAACCTTGTCTTTTCCCATTTTTCTCGAAATTCGATTTCAATCCTGAAATCATCCAGAAAGATCCGAAAAAAGAACCTCGTGGTGGCTTTCGGTGTCCATTCCCACATTTGTCCTTGACTCTCTTTTTCTCTTCATTTCCTTCCTACTTCTCCATCACCATCTCAACACACACAACGGTCGTCGGAGGAAAGGGAATCGAATCGACAAAAAAGCGGCCGGCCCGATGGGTGCCGGCCATCTGCCATCTGTCTGAAACCTCTTCGATTCCAATACTCTCTACCTCTAACCCATGAATCGGGTCACGCACATAGACACACAAAACACGCACAACAGTACCGTGATGGTCATGTATGTCCTCGATGCAAATAGGCTCCGCCCCTTCACCCCTCCTCCTCCTTCGCCTCCTCCTTCATATCTGACATACTACCTCATTCCTTATTCAGGATCTTCTAAGAGCTCTCGTGCTCTTCTTGCTCTTATTCATATTCCTCCTAGTTCTGATATTCCACCTATAACCCTTGTCGGACCTTTGTGGGTGTTCGCCTTTTCGGTGAAGTTACTGAATGCTTCTTCACCGGGTTAACATCTACAGAGGTCCTAAAGGGTTCCATGACCCATGACCCCTAGAATTTCAAATAAATTAGGTTATTCGAAAACATAAGAAAAGAGGCGATTCTGCCCGTGACATCAAGATGCTTGTGATTATGCGAAAATGTTGGGACATATCACAGTTTACTTGCTGTCGCAGGCGGATTATTGCTATTGCTCATTTTGTGATTGTTTGAAGAAAAGAAGGCTCATGGAAGAGAAAAGAAGAGAGAAGGGCCGATCTGGATGTGCTCGTTAGTCATAGACGAATCACACTTGAAAGGTCATATGACTAGAGACACATTCAGCTTGGCCTGGATCTCAACGTTTGAGATTGAAAGATTGCTGGAAGTGTTTCGTTAGTCTCTTTCAGACGATCGGGTACGGAGAATTGGATAGGCATGTTCCGATGAGAAGGATTTGTTCATATCGGAAAAAAACTTTGGGAATATGTACTTATTTGAGCTAGTTTTCAGCGAAATTAAGAACAGAGACAAAACATATGAAGCTTAGAATCTCCATAGAATACCTTGGGGCAAGAGATGGGCAAAAATTGCGGTAGTCACTATCATAAAAAACGTCATTTTCAAATATTATCAGAAGACGTTTCTGGTTTTTTTATTAAACTCCTTTTGGTTCAGCTCATATTTACTATACTAGATTTAAGGTCTACAGTTCCCAAAATTCATTTTTCGAACATCATTGGTCCGCCTCCGCACCGGCCCCATTCCTGACCATCACACCATCTGTACCCACCCATTCATCCGACCATAATTTGGTTGCAACACAATGACAAGATTCGGATTAAGATTGCGCTAGGTGGCAATGATTTCTCTCCTCATCTTACTCCTACAGTAACATGGCAGATGGTCCCATACCAAGAGTGACGTCACCTTCTGCTGTCTTATTTGGTAAAACCACAGGCTTTGTTTGGTTTATCGCAACGGGTTGCACCTTATGAGAGAGTATTTGGCATGATGCCAAGATTGCACATTTATTAGAGCGGGAAAAAACAATGAACGGGGGGCGTTGACTTGAATCTCAAAAAAGGAAAATTGCACTGTCTGAAATATTCTAAAGCATGGATTCTGGGAGTCCCTGATACATCCTCCGTGGCTTTTTCTTTGGATTCTTGCTGCGTGTCTTCATCTTGCATACTGGACAGGTTGGAGCATTGCGGTGGATGTTGGCTCCACAGTTTTCGCAGACCTGAAACCCTTTGATATTTAGAAAATCTGAAAAGTGTGTTCTAGCTCACCTTCATTTTGCTGGCTTCCACAAAACTTGGTGGCATGCGATGTCTGTTGACTAGATTACGCGGCATGTTGACCATTGTTCCAGAAGATTGTGGTTGTTGTTGAGCACAGTTGATGAGAGATTGAAGGAAGGCTGGAAGCTCGGATGGATCACGCGGAACATCTGGCATCGTTTGAGGTTCACTGGTTTGTCTGAGAAATATGGAAAGGTTTTGCAGGGCTTTTTCAGGTCACATATGCTTTATTTACAATAAAAAGGGAAAAAATAACTTTTGGTATTTTCAGTTAAAGGAAAGCTAAATCTATGATTCTGGACAAGTCATTACCATACTTGAAAAATCAGGGCCAGCCCGAGTTTTCTATTCGAAAAAATTTGGAAATTTATGCAAATTTCCCGATTGACTCCAAATGTTTTCTTGAAAAGACAGGGGAAAAATTGCTGAAAACCTTTGGAAATTCTGAAAGGCCCTGCCCGACCCGGCTTGTTGCAAGTATGAATGACGATTACTGTACAACCTCTAATAGAAATGCCTTAAACAGTCAACGATATGCTACCATAAACACTCTAATAGAAAGAAATCCTAAATGTTAACTTTGTGCTCAATCATCTCGGTTCCTATGAGAGATAACAATAATGCGTCAACTGATAAAATGTTTGTGATATTATGATAAACAATTCATCAGTTGACAACTTTTATATATCTTTAACAGAAACCCAGATAATTTGGATAAAAGTTAAAAGTTAGAGGGCCTCTCTGTTTTACGGTCAGTTCATGTAAGACATAACCTCCAAAATATTCCCTCACTGGGAATATTTTGTCAGTTATTTTTCAGTACCAGCCTGTTTGCTGCCCTTCCGGCGCTTCAAACAGCTGGCTGGTGGGCCTTCGGCGCGCTTTAATGTATTTTTGGTTCGTCGCTTCGCACCTCACTTTTTGATTTCTTTTTATCAAAAGTATTCATTTTTTATTCACGTAACGCAATAAATAAATAAATCAATCAATATTATGTCATGCCCCTCCTTCTGTCCTCGTTAAAAACTCGAAAATTGAAAAAAATGAGTTCTCCGTGAAATCAGACTCTTTGAATTTTATTGTTGGATAATTTTCACAAGAACTTTCTCACTGGTAGAAGCTCTGTGCATTACGCTTCTTCTTTTTTGGTTCATTTTCTTTTTTAATCTTTTGATTGATCGATTGCGAAAAAAGTACTAGAAGGCTCTAAGGGTCGCCATGTTTTGGGGTTCATGGCTAGGTGTTTTTCACTGAACGTCCTCCTTTCATGAAAGATCCAATCAAAGATTGAAAAGAAATGAAATAACAATAAAAAGCGTATGCATGGCTTCTACAGAGTGGAAAAGAACTTTGGAAATTATCCAACGTTGGTCCTCGGAGACCTGGGCGGGGAGACCCTTTCATGTACTGAGCCTCTACGTGGCGAAAAGGGATCAACAGACGAAAGTTTGGCTTATCAGTACACTATTGATACAATCATTTATTTTTCATTAAAAAAACGTGGGTTTCAGTGGATATTGGCAGTTTTCAGAACTCGGCTGTCAGGTTTCCGACGATTTTGAAAATTTTTCAGGATGTAAAACAGACCTAGACTGAAAATGTTGCATTCACAGTATTTTTTGAAAATTCCATTTGTTTTCGATTTCTGAAAGACACCCCTTATTGGCCGGTTTTTGTACCGTAAACGTGAAAAACAGGTGTCTTTCAGAAATTGGCAAATAGCTGAAAAACTTGGAATTTTCAAAAACTGTGAATTCAAAGTTTTCAATCTGTTTTACATCCTCCAAAATCTTCAAAGTGATTGGAAACCAAGTTGTTGCTGTAGGACCTTCACACATTTATGATTTTTTGTAAAATAATAATATTTACAGTCTGATTCAGGTTGCACAGTAAATGAATTTTTGGGGACACTACCTAACGTTTTCTGATTTACAAATCCCATTAACTTCCAACTAACCTTGCCCATGTCGCTTTAAAAAGTTCTTCTTCCTCTGACGACTCCAATTTATGAACAATATTCATCGACTCCAAATTTTCATTAATGAACCCCCTCATCCTTCCCACTTCTCCCATCGCTACCATAATTTTCCTCTTCCTCTTCTCCAATTCTGACTTCGAACTCTTTGTTATATCCTCCAATGTATTGATATCCTGATTGATTTGTCTCAACTCTTCCGCATGATTTCTTCTCTCCATATCCAGCTCCGTTTTAATTCCATTACAGTTTGCGATGTGATTCTCCAGCGTCTTCACTGCCTCTTCTTCTTTTCGAATCTCATCTGCCAGTTTGTGAAACTCGTCGATTCCATTTCTAAACCAAAGAAAATATGAAAAAAAAAGAATTGCTCCCGATGAGGCTCGAACTCACGACCTTGCAAGGTTATGAGACTGACGCGCTGCCTACTGCGCTACGGAAGCCACGAAACATGAGGGTTATCACGACCCTTATCACTCACCTCAACTTGCCAATGCATTGTAGGTTGTCCGAGAAGATCTCCAAATTCATCACCAAGGAGCTCAAAGGAAATGGGCTGAAAAAAAAAAACGAAAAAAGTGGGGGAAAAGGCAGAGAAAAGGAAATACACAAGTGATAAAACTAGCTGGGAAAGATTGAAATAATCAAAAAAATGATAGAGAAAAAAGTGAAAGAAGGAAAATAAAAACAAAAATCCATTCGTAATGTGCCTTCCTCTTTTTTCTTCTTCCCAAACACTTTGACTCATCGTACTGCAATACATTTAAGAAGAAAAAGAGGAAGAGAACGATGGTCCTCCTTCTCATCATTTTTATTATTTAGATTACAAGTTGACCTACTCAATTAAAGTGTAATCAAATAGTAATGACTATTTGGAGCATGTTAGTATTTGCGGGTCATAGAAAAAGGCTAATTTTGAAGAAGGAGAAAGGATTGGTTGCTTTTTCGGAGGATTGAAGACCGTGATTGCCGAACAAAAACTCAGCTTATACATTTCAGAGAAAAATTCACCGTATTTGCTCTAGAAGTCTAATTAACTGGAAAAAAAACCTTGGTTAGAACCGATAGACACTATTAGATGGGTCTTTTATAAAATCGGCAACTTGAGAAAACGATTCTATTCTACTTGACATCCAAACTCCTTCAGATTCCCAAAAGCAGGGGATATGGCTTCCAGGTGAATGCGTTAATGACAAAATGACAAGTTTCGGGAGGAGGTTATAAGATGAACAACGACAACGTCGTCGTCTTCAGAAGACGATCAAAAACGAAAAAAAGAAGAAAAAGAAGAGGAATAGATTGATGGGCCATGACGACGTGACGAAAAGATGGAGACAAGGATTCATTTACATAGAAAAGGCCCACCGAAGAAAAAACTATTTTAAAAGACAGTCGTTTTTATCTTGCTTCTCTTTTGTATTCAAAGTTCGGAACGAACATTCTCATGATTTTTAAACTTTGATCTGCAGGTTTCAAGCGACTACTGTAGTGAAGTATCAGAAGCTCAACTTGAGATCAGACTCAACACTTCACTGGGAATGAAAACAAAAACTCTGTCAAATGAAAAATGAATCTCACTAATGAAAAAGACACTCGAGGAAGAAAAAAGCACCGAATCATCGAGAATCAACAAAAAAATGGGAAAAAGACCAAATAAGGAGAATGGCTATGAAAATTTGCATAACGACAATAAACTCGCGGTGTATATTGCTCTTAAAAAGAGAACAAGAGTGCATTTGCATAAAAATAAAAATGAAGGTGCGTTCTAGTTCGTGCTGGGTTGATAAAGTGAAGATGGATGGAGAGATAAAAGGATGAGTAACAGTTATGATAAGAAAGATGCGATGTGCAATAGTTTTATGAATTCTGTTTATTGTGATACCAGTCAGGAAGGATGGGGAGAAATGTGTGAAATTACAGATTTTAGTGGTTGAGAAGTATTCAGTACCAACAAAGTTGTGGCAATTAAAACGGTTTATGTGATAAATATCCAAAAATGCTCAACAGACAAATCATTTATCAAAATATCTGAAATTTTCTCATCAGAAGGAAGAATCCTCAAATTAAGAAAATTAGACTTCCAAGATGGGAAGACGAGCTCTTGGCTTGGTTTTCTTTTGGCAGAATGCTATCATGGGCCCACTCTGATATTTTTTTGGTGTAAAAAATTGCAGTGGGCCCAAATTATCGTGGGCCCAAATACCGTGGGTCCAATTTTTGATTTGTTGGGTCAAAAAATTATAAACCAAGCCAGATTCTAGAATCCAGTGATTTCGATTATTTTTCAGAATTGTTTCGTAGTGTTTTTTTGAAAATACATAACTTTGAGAAACAGAATTTCCAAAAAAGTTACACAACAACTGTTGGTCGGAGTACTGGCAAAAGCTTCAAATATGATACGCAACTAGTAACTAATTTCAAAAACGTCCGGCGATAACACATTCCCATGGATTTAATATATTAATGTACTGTAGCCCATATAATAGGCAAGAGTACCAAATGACCTAATTTTGATCCTACCGTATTTCCTCTAACAGAAGCTCGACCAAACCGTCAATTTTGAGCTCAGTTATCTCGATTCTTGTGAAAGATATCAAAAACTTGTCAGCTGATAAAATATTGCTGATATTATGATAAAGAATTTATTAGTTAATCAATATTTGATACCCATGACAAGAAAAGTTTCTAAAAAATAAATATATGGATAGAATCTCCCACAAGTACCTATTCAAATTTCAAAGAAATCGTCAATAGACTTATGACATCTGAAAAATCAAAAAGACTCTACTGAAACCAAACGGAAAAACTATATAAATCGAGGTGGAAACATTATTGGCTTCCGCTTCCTCTTCTTTCTATTTTTTATTTTTCCTACAATCGAATCGTCGAAAAAATCATCGCTTCTTCTCTCTTTTCTGCCTGTGCTTTCAGTGAGTCAGTTCTTTTAGAAAATAAAAGAAAATGAAGGCACATGAGAAACTGTATGAGTCATTTATAAAACGATTTTTTGGTTTGGAAAATTTAGATTCACATGATGAAAACAGAATAATGGGGTCAGAAATTTTGAATTTTTAAAGTTTTAAAGTTTCAGATCACTCTAGTTATAGTTTATTAATGATATCCATTCAATGGAAGACTAAGAAGTTATCCTTTAGTTTGTGAATTTTTTTAATAAAAAAAATGATCTCTTCTAAATAGCAATGGCTCCGTTATCAGTGATAAGGGTTCCCATCACCTTTCCTTGTGCTCTCCGGCTCATCATTCACCCAATCAAAAGGCCACCGACTCGGTTTTATTTTCAGCTTCCCAAAACATTGCAACAGGGCAAACAAGACGAAAATGTTTATTCATGAAAAAAGGAGATCACACAGTAATTGCGGAAAAAATATATGGACAAGATTTCAATAAATTAGAACTTGATTTCCAGATTATTAGGCGTCCTTTCTCTTTGGCTTCTTTGGGTTCTTGCTTCGGCTCTTGCTCTTACACATGGGACAAATTGGAGCATTACGGTGGATTTGTTGGAAGCATGATTGGCAAGTCTGGAAAATTCAGATTCGGTTTTATCAAAACATTTTATTTTCTCTAATAGACGAGTACTCCATTTTTTGAAAGTGAGTAAGCAGTTGACCTCATTTCTGCTTCCCAACGCTCACCGAGTTTGCTTTGATAGAAGCCCATCTTATACATGCACTTTGAGCTCAACTATCTCGGTTCCTATGAGAGATATCGAAATTTTGTCAACTGATAAAACACTTCTGATATTATGATAAACAGTTTGTCAGTTGACAATTTTTATATCTTTGACAGGAACCCAGAAAAATGGCTCAACTTCGAAAATTGGGCGGTTACCGTATTTCCTCTAGCAGAAGCCCACCCCAGTTGTCCACTTTAAGCTTAATTGACTCGATTCCTTTAAGAGAATTCAAACACTTGTCAACTGACAAATATAGAAGTTTTACGATAATCGCGTTCTTTGGCTACTTAATCCGCCAGAGAAAGAGAAATCTAAAAATTGCTAAACGTTTTTAACCGTACCTTCATTGGCGGTGATTGATGATCGGTTGACCTCATTTGTTGATGCTGCATAGCTGCAGCCATATGTGGTGGAGGTCTGAATTGTGCCGGTGGTGGATTCTGCCCGAATCCGCCGAGTTGTTCGAGGAACATTGGTTGGAAGAGTTGCTTGAAGTTGAAATTGGGGAACGGGGATGGAAGACCGCCCGTAGATATGACTGGAGTGACTGGCGATGTAGGAGGTTCGCTGCAAATTGGGAATTTTAGAAACTAAATCAAAAACTATTTACAACAAGAATCAACCTGAAAAACCTTACATTTTGAGATGAGTCTGTGGTAAGTCGTCAGTACTCAAAGCGATATCGCATCCAGTCTCCTTCAACTTTTCATTCGTCGCCTCCATTAATCTCATTAACAGTTCGTATTTCTTCACAATTTTCCCCTCTCGCTCCTTTTTCTCTGATTCTGCTTCGGCGATCTCTCGCTCCAAATCACTCTTGTCCTGAAAAATACATATTTTAATTCTTGAAATTACTCTTTCGAATTAAAAAGAACAACAAAAATCTAGAAGAGAAAAAAAGCTCACCTGATTGATCAACTGAATAATTTCCGAGTGTTCTTCCTTCTCCTTATTCAACTCATCAATGGTTTTTGCTGTCTCTTTGATGAATCTGAAACGGTGGAAATTGGATATAACCAATTAGTAAAAACTACTCACTTTTCAGTGTTTTCGAGCTCGCTAAGCTCCTCGAGTAGCTCGTTTCGTTTAGCGAAATAGTCATCGACTTTTGTTCTGAAAAATAGACAAAGTGGATAATGAAAACTTATTTGAAGTCCTAAATTAAAAGAAATATGAATTTTCAGCTATCACTTTTTATTGACTTTTATAATCTTTAAACTATTAATTTTTATATCCCGATATATTCAAATCCTCGAACTCTTAGGATCCCCTATTTTCGAAAAAGTGACGAATTAAGGGAAACGTCGGAATATAAGACTCGACGGAAGAGAATATGGTGTCGTAAAGTCACGCTTGGAATAAAAGGACATGGAAAGATGGATTTTAATCAGGCACACACATATACATGGACAAACACAGGATGTCTTGATGTACGTACACGTCCATGTATGAAAGCAAATATTTTATACAACTGGAACGGGCACCAAAAATAGGATAGTTGGAGGATGGGTTACGGTACTATATAATATGAAGTTCTACAAAATTCAGGTCATCTTCAGGTCTTCGACCCTCAAAGATCTATTTGCGAGCCTCAAGGCATTATAACATGCTAGTTGTCATCTTACTTTTTATTGATTCTTAGGGGTTTACAAAAGTAGGTCAAAGTTGTCAGATTAGTCTAAAAAGTTCATAGTATATTAAACAAAACTAGAGCTACAATTTCGTAGTTTACAACTTTTTTGAAAAATCGAGTCCTAGGGAGATATGCCCCGTGGAAGTGAGGGCGCCATTGAGAGTTTCAGCGGCACCTCCAAAAAGGGGAGGTGGCGCGCTTGGGGCTCTATCTTTTCAGGACTTAGTTTTCCCAAAAAGTGGTCAATCAAAAAAAAAGGAAGCTTATATTCGGTTTAGTATACTCTGAAAATTTCAGACAAATCGAAAAAGTTTGACATCGATTATCAGACGGCCAAAATATATCATTTCTGACCAAACTGCAAAATTTCAATTTTGGCAATAAATTTGGCAATATTAAAGCTTTTATTTTGCACTATGGCTCCAGGGAGCGAAACCTCTTTCAGCTCTTTATCCAGTTACAGGTTCACGGGTGTCGTATTACGGTTTCATGATCTTATACCCACTTTTCAATTGAAACTGGCCGAAAAAAAACTTTCTGACACTTTCATACTATATTTTTTAAGCTAAGCTAGCCCTATTCTAAAAACCAAAGAAGTTATCTTGGTTCACTCGAACTCTCATTCTCCTCCTTATTCAACAGAACCATACATCTCCAATCTTCTAGTTCCCATGAGGACCTTCCGAGTTTGCACCTGCTCCAATCATAAAATCATAATCTCAACAGGATATGTGTCAATCTTCTCCTTATATCTCCAAAGTTTACCGACACTTGTAACTGAGGCTCTAAGTACTTCACCCCCCGAAGGATTACTGTAGACGTTACGTCAAACAAGAGGTCGCAACAAATCCAATTAGGAACACAGGTCTTTTTTTGGTTCGTCCTTTCGTCAAAATTTGGGGTCGAAGGAGAGGACATTTACATTTCCGTGTATTACGGAAGGCGCGAAATGGACTTTGAAGTCACCGCTTGAAAGGTACCTACTTAAAAGAGTTATGCAAGAGTGAGAGGACATTCTCATCTTTTTTGAGAATGAGAAAAAGCGCTGGGAAGAATTCGAGGATCTAGGAGAGTTACGCAATTCTGAAAATTGAAATGCTGGGAGTCTGGGAATAGTTTTGGAAGCGGCGGATATAAAAGACAAGACATAGAAAAATAAAGGGTTCATATTCAAATTTATGCGACTATTTTGAAATCCTGAAAAGGCTTGGAAAATGCGACATCGTTGCTTGGAAAAATTCTTGAAAATCTAGGATTAGATATTCGAGTAGTATTAGACATTTCCAGAATATGGATTCGAATATGTTCATCTGCACCTCGGGAACCCAGAATATTTCCAAAATCAGATTGATAACGAAAGTCGCTCCGATATTTTTCCAATTTTCGGTAACTTGTAATAGAAGGGCCCCTAACTTTTGAATTTAAGAGAACTTTTTTCAGTTCCTGTCAACGATAAAAAAGTTGTCAATTGATGAATTGTTTTGTCCGTTGGAAGATTTGTGATATCTTTCAGAGAAACTAAGAAAAACTAGCTCAATCTTGACAGTGTGGGTGCCCTTCTATAGAGACTGTACGGTAGGAATTTCTAAACCAAAACCACGAAGACATAAAAAATTACAGAAGTGGGCCAGCTTTAAAAATCCCGATATCAGATTGGTTTTTTTTTCAATTTACGGTTTGATTGGGTTTTAAGAAAATCCCTTACCTTAATTAGCGCCAAAATCAAAGGATAGAAAAATTTGTGATTCAAATATGCAAATTTTCAGTTTTCAAAATTCTGAAATTTTGAAAAGCTGTAACCTCAAGTTTTTCTTAATCATTTCGAAGTTTAAATTCTGGTTCAGTTCTAAAATTAACACATAAAAAAATCTAATGAGTCTATTGTTAAAAAATAAAATTTCCAGGTCACCAACTCTCTAAAATGCCTACTTAAAAAACCCAATAGTCCCTTCCAACTCATTAAACTCACTTTGCATTTGCAACTTTGTACAATTCGCTCATCGATAAATTCGTCGTCGCTGTCGTAGGAGTCTCCACACCCATAATCGGCGAAACTGTGGCTGCGGTCATTTTTGCAAGATGGAGAAGCTGAGATATAAAATATCGAAAAATTGAGGATCGTTAAAAATCGGTATGTTTGTGAAAAGGAAGGGAAGAGGAAAACTCATGGGAAACTGGGAAAAAATATACATGGAAGAAGGAAGAAGGAGCCGCAGCAGCAGCAGCCAATCAGAATATGGGCGGAGTCGGGATATATGGAATAGGAGGAGGAAAATGAGGAAGAAGAGGAAGAGTGTAATAGAGAGCTGGAAGATTAGAAAAAGAGAAAGAAAAAAGGATTTATTCTTATACAGCTAATTGACATTTTCAAAACTAACTTGGGACAGGAAGATAAAGAAAATTATGAATTTTAAGATGAACTTTCCTGAATGTAGTGTTAATGCTCGGGCTTAATTATCTATGTTCCTGTGAAAGATATCAAAAATATGTTAAATGATAAATTACTTATCCTAATATCACCAATATTTTATGAATTGACAGATTTTTGATATCTTTCAAAGAAAGCGAGATAATTGAGCTCAAAATTAACAATTTGGGCAAAAAAAATATTATTTCAAAAAAAAAAAAATTCATCCAGGATCTTTTTTGAGCTCTCAATTTGCCAGTCTCTCTAAATAACTAGGTCACTAATTAATCAACAAATAAAACAAACGGGCACCCGCCATTTGTAGATCCACCTTTTTGATAAAGGACCAATCTTGATATTTCCTATGAACACATATTATTTATTATTTTTTAGAAGGTTAGTGTCAATAATAGATTGTCTATGAGATAGGTTAGCTTTGGTTGACTATTGATAAGCTGGTCTAGAAACCTTAGTTTGTTTAAAACTTCACTTCCGGCAAAATAACTGAAATTTGCAATACAAACTACAAAATATTATAACCTCCAATAATGAAATCAAGAAGAAAACTCAAAAAAAAAATGTTTCCATCAACTTTTTCACACAAATCTCTAGCTTAATCTACTCAACACGCAATATCTACAGTAATCCTTCCTCTCCCTCTCCCCAGTCAAAACAAACATGACTCGCTTATCTCAAGGTTACCAACAAACTATTCAAAAATCTTTACCTCGAACAGGAACACTTGAATGGGTGATGAAATGGAAATGTAAATGCGAATGGAATCTGTGTAAACTCCTCCTCCTTCTCCTCATCCGATATATGCAATTAGGAGGTCTTCGTTTTCTCTAAAGTGCTGCTCGTAAATCAATCCACTCTTTGAGATCTTTTGGACCACTATCAAAACACTCTCTGGCTGACAAAAATCATCGATCAAATTGTTGCGCATTCTCTTAGAAATCGACACTCTGATGTTGAAGAGGAAGAGCGGTACGAATCAAAGAATCCCATTCCTCCTCTCCTCATCCATCACATTCAGGTGTCTTCGTCTTCGGAAAGGTGTCATACGAACACCTGCTAATTGGGGGAATTATCGAGAAGATTACTTGTACTTGTTTTTGAAGGGATAACTGTCAGACTAAGTAGAGGAAGAGGGAAATGTTTCCAAAAGAAGAGATTACTGTAAATTCTCCATAGAAACCCAAACTATTCATGCACTTTGAGCTCAATTATTTAGATTTCTGTGCAAGATTTCAAAAGTGTGTAAACTAATTACAAATTAGTGATATAATGATAAATAATTTATCACTTGATAAATTTTGGGAATCTCTCACAGAAATCGAGATAATTAATTTCAAAGAGGACAGTTTGGGTGGGCTTCTGTTGGAGGAAACACGGCAGATTAGAAGTTTAATTATCTGGGCTGAGAGAAATTTTAAAAAACAATTTACTGATAAATTTTTTATCATAATATCACCAACATTTTATCAGTTGACACATTTTTGATATCTCTTATAGGGTCCGAGATAAATTGGCTCAATGTATATGGGTTAGCCAATTAGGTGGACCGGAAGAAAGCTATGAATATCAGGAATCGTGAGGAAGTAGAATTTAGTTTTTACATCTGAGAGATTGATTCATTTTTGGGACCAGAAAATAAGGAAATTACGGAAAATTGAAAAATGAAGCTCTGATTTTGAGAATTTTCCAATTGATTCTAAACTTCTAAAGATTTTGTTTTAAAGATCCCAATACCTGAAACCGTCCAAAAGTGAAATAATTTGTTGAACTGATTAAATAAAACTATTTTTGAAATTCGAAAGTTTTGAGAAGATTTCAAAGTTTAAAACAGGATAACACAAGAATTATTGAAATTGTCAATAAAATCCGAAGAACCTCAATCGCAGATAGGTCTGTTCGCCTTCTGGGAACATGCTATTTTTTATTATGCCTGCCTCTGTTTCTGTTATGACACTCCGAAGCATGACACATTTACCACGTGTCTAGTGACAAAATATTAAGGACGGAATGAGTAATACGACCAGCTGAACAGGCGGAAAAATTTAGAACTCGCAAAACTTCGAGAACGGTCAGATAGCAGGTGTAACTTCCAACGAAAACTTTTCTGGGTAAACGATCGACGCAGCAGAAAAAAAAAGTTGAAAATGAGAATGTTTGTGTTAAACGAAGCAAGCGCGTGTCGTGTTTCTCATGAAAAGACACCCCCAAAAAAGGACAATTGAAATGTGAGAGATAGGGAAGAAAGAGCGAGGGAAGGGGAAAATGATTACGGTAGAATAGGAAAAGTGGTGGGCGGAGCTTAGGTTCTCGGGAACTAAAAGGCGGATAGAAGAAGAAGTAATAGTTAGAAGAAGTGGGTAGAATAACAAATTAGGCGGGAAACGATGATTAGAAACTGAAACGGAACAGATATATCGTGTTCCTTTTGGGAACGATGCATTAAAAAACGAAAAGAAGCATAGATTTTTTTCAAAAATCTGAAATCCGGAATCTCATGAAATTTGCACTTTGTGAAATATTCTCAGAAAAATTACTTCATGATTTGCAAGTATTCAGACTTTCAGATCCTCGGAATCACAAGATGCTCTATTATCATTACTCGCTCTTTGAGGTAGATTATCTCGGTTGCCAGGAAAGCCAACAAAAAATGGTAGGCAAATAAAATGTTTATGATATTATGATAAACATTTTATCAGTTTACTAATTTTAATTTTTAATATCTATCATAGGAGCCGAGATAATTAGGCTCTAAGCGCATGTATATTGTGGGCTTCTATTTGAGCGGTTACCGGACTTCCTTTAATAGGAGTCTACTTTGAGCTCAAATATCTCGGTTGCCATGAAATATACCAACAAATAATAAACTAACAAAATGTCGAACGAACAACGAACAAATTTCGAACGTTTAATGAACATTTTATTAGTTGAAAACTTTTAGACAAACGAGATAATTAATCTCAAAGTGCCCGTGTTGTTGAATATAAAAGATTTGGAATCTGGAAACCTGAGACTTGAAATGATCTCAAAATCTTTAGATCCCTTGTTTTGATATGTGTAAATTTGGAATTCGTTAATTTCGAAATTCCAGAAACACAAAAAATTCAGAGTCCTAAAACTATAACTAAAGGGTTAAAGTTAATTTTGAACCTAATTTTCCCATAAAACCATTTGTTTACACCCATCTAAACCTTTTCATTCCCAAATTCTTGTCTATTTAATTCATCTCCACCCCATGTGCCGATATAGTAATTTACGACCTATATCTTCTCTTCTTTGAGGACTTCTTCTTCTTCTCATTTCTAATCCATCTGTTCTCTCTGTCCACAAATACAATATCTTTTATGGCACCTTTGGGTTAGAAAGAATAGAAATAGAGCATTCTTGAGAGAAAATGAAAACAAATGGAGGGGGGGGGGGACCCGAGAAAAAGGGCAGAAACATGCATTCTCATACCTTTATGAATCATCATCTCAATCTATTATTATTATTTTCTATATATGGGACAGAGAGAGGAACAATACAAGCATCGATGACAATAGAGAGAAGAAGAAGCTGATTTATTGGAAGTTTGAATTTTGTATTTGACATACTAGAAAAGAAATTAGGTTCATCGCTACAGGCGATTCGCCAGTATCCATTTCAGTCTTCTGTTGCCACATGGCGGGTGTCTGCCAAGTTTTACGATGATGACTGGTGATGTTGCCAACAGAACTTTGTTTTATACAACATTTGCATTATGAGACTGACAGAACTCTACAGGCTTGACATGTTTATAGCATTCTGTTTATTTTCAGTGACACCTGTGGAGGCAGCAATTTTCAATTTGTTTCTTAATTTCTGTGGAAGATTCTGGGGTTGGCTTCTTTGAACAGTTAACGAGTGCGAATTTGCGAATTATTGCAAAATGCGTTTTTTAAGTAAAAACTTTTTAGAAAAAGATGAAAGATTTCAGTATGCTGTATTTTCAGCGTCTTGCTTGAAGAGAACTTTTTTCGTTCGTTATTATTCTGGTACCAAACAACTGGAGCTGTGGAAGTGAAACGCCGTTGGCCGTGGCCGGAAGTCCCACAACGACAACCGTAACCTAAAATATAATATCTTAATTATCTAGATTTTTATCTCGTTTTTTATTATCGCTGTCTGAGAAAAAAAAAGTTTAGAGCGATGAGATCGTGCGGTTGAGATCTTGTGAAATTTTTCTTGAAGGTGCAGGTGCGGAAACTACCGTACTTTGAGCCTATTTTTGAATATTATTTTCCTATTTTCTCAATTTTTCGACAATTTTTTTTTAATGTTATCATTTTTATATCATTTTCCTTTGATTAACATCGAAAAAAAACTGAAAAAATTGTAGAAAAATTGATAAAATATAATGTAAAATAGGCTCAAGGTGCGGTTTAGTTGCCGAGATAATATGAATCCGGAAAATAGAAATATTTTTAGGTTACGGTAGTTGTCGTTGTGGGACCTTCGGCCGCGGCCACCATTCGTATTCAAAATTTACCAAATCTGTCCTTGTAGTATTGTATAGTACCTAAGATTCTAAAATTGACAACTTTCCCATGCGAAGGAGTGTCTGTATTTGTGTACCGACTATACAATTTGCATTTAAATGGCACTGTAACCTCCCGAATTGAATACCACACACTCCATTCAAATAACCCACACCTAGATACTCAGTTATTTTCCGACCCAATATAATGTCTTTTTTAACTCACCGCCGTGCTTCTCCCCTCTTCATGCTTTACCACTTGAACCCATCGATTCTCAAAATTTGACACCTCACCCCACAGGCCGTAAAAAGACGGGAAGATGCGAAAGGGAAGGAGTGCAGATGGACGGTACCCTGGGGAGAGAAAAAGGAATCGGAGTGGGTTACAACATCCAAAAGAAACAGGACACCTTCAGAAGAACGGGCGGCTCCATTAATCAACGTCATTAAGCCTAAAGCAAATCGAGTACCGTCTGGTGTTGGGAAAATTATGATATAAGGAGCCTCGTGTGGGAGGACGGTTTTTTGAATTCGTGATTTTTAGGGGAATCAGAATCCCGAATCCTCCGGGGACTTCTGGAGCCGACAAACAAATCATTTGTTATAAGGGGTAACACTAGAACAAATGAATTATTTTTTCGCGCATCCCAAAACTAGACAGAAGACAGAAGAACGAAAACGAAACAAACTTTACATAGAAAATAAAGGGAACTGATAAAAAAAAAGAAATTTTCAAATATTACACATAAAAACAAGACTTTTACAAATTTCAACCCATAATAGACTAGGAACAAGTGTGTGTGCAATTCGTTGATATTTACAGAAAGAGATGAGTATTCTGATGAGAATTAAAAAAAGAAGTAGATATACAATTATTTCCAGATTTTGATGACACCGTCGTAACCAGCAGATACCAGAAGCTCAGAGTTCAGCAGCGTCATATCAGTGATTGGAGTGCGGTGATAGGTTGATGGCTGAAACAAACATGGTGAAAATGGAATCTCGAAAAATCAATATCACAAACCTTGGAATCTAAAGGAACCACTTTCTGGTTTTCCTTCGCCTCCGTATCCAACACATTCCTCTCGTAAATCACCAATGGATCTGTGGATGATCCTGAAGGTGTGTTGGCAATATCATTCTCCTCGAAAATCGTACGATACGCAGACCGTCCTTTAGGTGGCGAGGACAAAATTTCGCAGCCGATTGCTCTCGATGGATTCCATTTTCGAATGGCTCCACGTGTATCTCCGGTATACACGACACCAGTTTTCTCGCAGACACAAAGAGCACGAGTGACCAGTGTTTCTTGTTTCCGTGGATCGACAGCACTATAGGTTAGAATCGGTGCTCCTCCAGTCCAGAACACCTTCTTTCGTAGTGGTTGCGCTCCCAATTCATATGAGCTCACTTCTCCTTGCATTGTGAATCCAACAAGAACTTCAGGACTATCCTGTCGAGATACTGGATTCGTCCATACTGCATGTGGTTGTACATTGATATGAGGGGACTCCCAACGAAGAACCTCCTCACGGAAGCGGAGATCATAGAGCATTAAGTTTCGTTGACTCGAATTATTTCCAAGAACCATCCAACTCTGTTGCCATGGATCGATTGCAGAACAGGTGATGAGTCCATGTGTCTCCTGAAACTTTTTCCTCCAAATGTCATGTCGTTTCAGTGGCCCTTCCGATGCTCCGACTCTCAGATCGATTCCATACAGTGCTCCGTGATGAGTTCTAACAACTGTCATCGGACCGTTACAATGAAGATACACTGGTGCTCCTTCTGCTTCCGGTATCCGAACTTGTGTGATAATGCGAGCCTTACCTTGCCCGAGATCCGCCCATCGAACATATCCATCGTTGGAAGCGGCACACGGGTACTGATCGTTCCATCCGACAGAATTCACACACTCCCGTTTTAGTTCATTCGGAAGCCATGTATCTTCACTTCTCGCCGCACCATATCCCTCTCCTAGAACCGCCCGAGTCTTCCATACTTTCACAGTACCATCTGCAGATCCACTTAGGAAGAAGTCACACTCCCGGTTGGCAGAGAGTTTCGTAACTTTTCCAGAGTGCTCGTGAAGATGAGTGATAATTGTTCCTTTCACATTATTCGACGATCCACCGAGCGAGCCTCCAGATGCAGAAGCACTTAGAACTGGATGACTCGCACTGGCAACAAGGGGTCTTTTGGGGCGACTATTCACATTCTTCATGTGAACGTCGTTGAGATGAGCAAGCATTTCATTTACCGTGTTGTCGAATGTAGAGCTTTTGACCGAATGGTACGGTGTTGGGGTGTTTGTTACAATTCGTTCCTCCTCTTCATAAACCACTTCTCCACTCAACATGAGAGTATCACGTCGTTTGTTTGAACTGTTGGGAATGTTGATTACAGTTGTAGGTTTGACATTTCCAGTTATCGCAGAATCATCTCCATATGTGAATTCTTTTCGACGGACACGACTGTGAGCAAGCGCGGAGAGATCAATAGTTCCGACTTGACGGGTGAGGTAGGTTTCCATCCCAGCGCTGAAAATTTTAATGATTCAGATTCCGAATTTCAGAAAATCAAGGGGGAGACACTTACGTATTTCTGGTCTCTGCCATCCTCTCGAAAAGTTTTCTGAATACATGAACCGCCCATATCAACCGTTTTCTTGTTTCCAGGGCCGCCTTCAAATCATTATGCTCCACAACTCCCGCAATGTTTTCCGTCTTGATTTTCGGGAAAATAGGATTGAACCATGAGCCAGCTTCGAACGGTTTACCCATTGTGTAGTGTAATTCTGAATAAATTTAGTTGGAATATTTGGAGGTTGAGAGATGTTATAAACATACCTAGAAGCGTAGTCAAAGCCGTTGTATTATCCAAACTTAGTTCTATAATTTGATTGAATGTGACACGGGGAATCGGGTCGATGAGCTGACTCATTAGAACTGATTTGCTTTGCAGAGTCAATATCCGTCTTTTGGATTCTTCAATAAACGGACTGACGAGAGGAATCAGTTTTACATGAATTTCGGCTTTGTGCCATTGGGAGTTGATGGCCAGGAGAATGTCGCAGACAGCGGATCGTACCCAATCATTCTAAAAAATGGAACATTGAAAAACTCAAGTTTTAGAAATTTCAACTCACCGGATGTACTAAAAACGGTAGCACATCATCGAGTAACTTTTTGACTGATAATCGATCCAAATTTTCGTTCTTAATCAGTATATGAATACATCCAAGAGCTCGAGTGATAACATGCTCCTCGCCATCTTGAAGGCCCTATAAATTAAAATTTCAGTAATTCAAAGTTCGAAGAAGAAAAACTAGCCAACTGTAAGAGTGGAACCATTCCTTCACTTCGCTTCTGCACACAAACAGGTAGAGAATCGAAGAAAGCCGCTCGCAATCTCCATTCTGTTTTCGCATTTAAAAATGTACACAAAAATCGGAGAAGTGTATCATCGTCTGAACATTTAGAATTAGTTGATGACCTGATGAATATCTAAAACTAACTTCCTATTTTTAAAAAGAAATGATAGAGCAAGATGAGTGATTTGCTCTCGACCAAACACCTCTTCACCATTGGATCTTTACTACATAGTGCTGAAAACATTGCAGAAACTCCGTGAAGCAAAGCGCCGGCATCATCATTTTGTTGTAGATCACCAGTTGTTGAAACCTCGTCATCGTACGGTGTGGCTTGTCGAATTTCTCGACCGACTGTATAAAATCTGTAAGCGGTGTCAGCAAATTGCCCAAGGGACGTAGCAATGGCAAATAGCACGTGCTGGGGACAGTCAACAGAGTCGTTCGACATGGAATTCTGGAATTTCGAGAGATTTAGGAAAGCTGACAAAGAGAAAGGACATACCAGGAGAGGGAAAAGAAAATCAACAAAGACCAGCGATTCTTCGAAAGTTTTCGGCTTAATCGGAGCGAGAAGTTCAGCAACAGCAGTCACAGCAGTCGCACGGACCTGGGTTTCTGGGTCAGACCAAAGATATGTAAAGTATGGAAGTATCCGATCTATTGCAACACTTGAATCGGAAATTGATGAGAGCTCAACCAGCATTCTGATGGCATCCTGCAATTTAAAAACTAATTCCTTTTTTCAAATATTCTCCATTAAACTTACAGTTTTTGCTTGAATCGTTCTCAACGCTCTGAGATTGGCTGTGATCAACGAAACGAAGAGAAAAGCGAAAGACTTTGACTCATCACTTTCTGATAGTCTCGCCCACCATAACTGCTTCTCTCGTTTTAATTTGCTAATAACATCATCTGGCTCCAGATACGAAAATTCAAGAGCTTGGCTGAAATCATCAGTCGTCGAATCTTGAGACGTTGAGGCACCATAGAGCGGTCGGAAACGATCGAGATAACGAAACAGGAAGCTTTCCAAAATGTTCGGGAATTTCAGAGCAGCTCCGGTGAGCACTGCGTTTGCTGATATTCTGAAAGTGGGATCTCGATTCAAAAGTAGTCGGAGTAGAGGTCGATAGGCCAACGGAACATCTTGGATCAGTCTGAAATCGTCAGATTTGAATTTGGAACTTTGAAGAGCGATATATACCTTAACAACATATTAGCAGCATCACTATCATTCATAGATCTATATTCACAAAGTGAGCTATAAGTGAAGGGAGGACGATCGCAGAGCAGCTCGAAAACGATGCACCCCGCTGAGAACATGTCCATTTTGGGTGTCAGAGAGCCAAAAAGCCACTCTTCCTGTCCATTTTTCAGTTTTTCCTCGTATTCCGTCGCCGAAATAAATCTTTCAGGTGCAATATAACAACTTTGACGACGGCTGGTATCGAAGAAAAAGGTGAACGACGATGGGTTGTCGTGTGTCAGGAAACAGGGTTTGAATGGAGCAAAATCTGTGACTTGAAGCCAATTTGTAGAGGAAATGAGCACATTTTGAGATTTGAGGTCTCCATGACATACTCCAGCTGTTTCGCATTGGGATAGTGCTTTGAAGAGCAGGAAGATGTACCTGCAAGACAGGAAAATATTTTTTAGAGTTTTCGTTACGTGAAAAAGTTTTATAGGTTACTTTTTGTAGAGAACAAATTGTGGAAAATCGTTAGATATTTCAATTTTTCCAAGAATTGTGTAAATCGAAACTATGGCTGCCCACAGTTCTCCTAATGACATAATAGAAACGTTCAACCACTTTTTCACTAATATTCCGAGTAACAAGAGCTTCGATATGAGCTACAAAGGTACTTTTTTAAAAAGTGTTTTTTCAAAACTTAAATTCTCATTTTCAGTGTACATTCGCGAGTTGGCAGATACTGAGGATCGTACGATTTCGGCTCGTAGCTCGTCTGCTAATCTTCAAACTGTGAGCCAACCGGTGACAATTGCTTCCCATGGAACTGTTCCGACTATGTCGTTGAGCTCAACGAAGGCATCAATTCAGCAGGAGCCGCTATCTTCAGCGACCAATTTAACACTGAACACGCTGGCTTCATCGAAATCAACAAAATCAACGGATGTCACATCGAGCCAAATTGAGCGTTTGTGTGTGGAGAACATGAATCGCAAGCAACGATCAATGATTGACCTGACTGAATTCAATCAAAAATTCGGGAACGGATTCCAACCGCCACCACCGTCGACTGGAACACCACCGACTGTGTATGAGAACTTGAATGTCCTTTCGAAAACGACAAAGAAAGAGAAGAAGCCTGCTGTCTCTCCTGCTCCATCTACATTCACCAAAGACAACTACGGAAGACTTGTGGAGTCAGATTCCACGTTTCGGGGATCTGATGGAGAAGACCCACTTTACGTTAAGGTTGCCGATTGCTTCGATTAACTGTTTGTATCTCCTATTATTTGATTTTATGTCATAGAATAAATACTTTTGACACAAATTTTCAAATACTTACCACATCTTTTCTGCTTCTACAACAAACGGTCTCGTGCTCATCCGATCGAAAAGTGTGTGCTTTTGGAAGGCTCTGACCATTACAGCATATTTCTGTTTAACAAGAACTTTCTTGATAGGACAGCAATTAGGACTCTTCATAAGAGCTTTCCGGATATCTATGATTCGCTGTGGAAACGGATCCAGAGAGGCCAAATCTTGTCGAACAAATACTTTGTAAACGAAGACACCTTCATGTGTTCTTCCACGAGCTACTTTCATGAATCGGGTGCTTCCAAGACTGCAATATAGATTTTTAAAATTCAAGTTTTCTCAATAGGTTCTTACTTTTCCACAGCATCACATGACAAATCGTTAAGATACACTTCGACCGGTAAAATTTCTGATGGATTTGTGGTGAAAAGTGAGTTTACATTACCCATAATTTATCTGAAAAATGGGAAATTAGTTGATTAGTAACCGTAAATGTTGAGAAATCTGACTGGAAATATTGCAATTCGGCGCACTGACATGTGAGAGCGAAGAAACAGTGCGCTGACAGGAGAAACGCAGAGAAAATTTCTAAGGGGCGCAAATGCTGTGGACATGGAAATTGTTCGAGACCCCGCAAATTCCGCGGAAAGAAAAAACCGGGGAAAAAATCGGGGAAAAGNAATCATNCNACAAAACCCAATGAAACTTCTTGTGGAGTATGTTTCCAGTCGTGGAAGTGTGGAATTCGAGTCGCTTCCATCTGAAGATCAGAATCTAGTGAATTTCAATAGCAACATCTTCAAAGTAATCTCAACGAAGCCTGGCGAAATGTTTGTCAATCTTTTTGACCGAACTCTGGACGCATCGGCTCTCAAAGATGGAAACTGCCTTCGTTATCCTGTGGAAGCCGATCTTTGTTGGATGTCGGAGTTTACCGATTCCGTTAAACAGTGACCAACACATTGTTATACAGTGACCAACACAGTGTTGATGTTCACATCTCTAACCTTTTCGAGTTACCGGAAAAG